GGGGGTTGAATAATTTTTAAACTGGAGAAATCATAAGTTGCATTTTCAGTTGAATTTGGGGAAATCACTTGAAGCATTTGTTGTGTTTAACTATTGCAATTGCTTTTGTTTGATTTGTTCATTGCAAACAGCTGCAAGTCTGTAAATTGTGAAAATCATATGGCAGCAGCACAGTGCCTAAAATCATGCAGATGCAGGAAAATGTGGTCTGTCTAACTTTAACTGCATGGTTGTTGGTGCCAGATGGGCTGGTTTGAGTATTTCAGAAACTGCTGATCTCACACAGCCCCTTAACATGTCCAATCTGATTGAAGTATCAGCCATGCAGTCCAATTCAGGCTACACTGACTCCTCCTGTGGAACAGAAATGAAACTTTTGTGCTTTGACCAGCATAAATATACACTGATACTAAAGAATTATGGTACAGCCATCTGAAACCAGTCACACTGTTTCCATATAGTCAGTGATGAAAATGAGGATTTCTTGTGTGTGTTCCTGTGTGACAGGATGCAGTGTGTGCTGAGGCCCCAGATGAGAGAATGTGTCTAAAAAACCCAGAATGCAGTTGGTGTGAGGGTCGCTGTCGGGAATACCAACCAACTAATCCAGTAACACGATGCATACCTACTTGCTTCTATTCCTTTACTTTTATTTCTCTTTTGTTCGAACTGCTTTCCTCATTATCAACCTATTACGTCTTATTGACTAATGGCAGTATTATCTTTGCGTGTGCCCACAGTGTGGCAGCACTGGCTGTTTGGGTCTGGCGCGCTTCCTGTCTGACTGCCAGTCATGTCTAGTATTCAGTGGTGTGCCCAACTCTCTCCCTCGTGCCCCTGGTGATTTTGGCTGGTGTGTCCAGAATGATTCCTGTTTACCGGTCTCAGGTATGAACAGGGGAGAAGAGAGCAACATGAGTGAGTGATTATGGTACAACCATGTGCAACCACAGTTTTTGTAGCAAATCAGTATCTCATGACTTGTCTAATTTCCTGTGTCTGTGAAATACTGGCTTGTTTAATTTTTCTGTGGTTGTAGTTTGGTTTTCTTGATCTTTTTCTATATATAGCCCAGTGTGTCAGCTATGTGTCAGCTGATCTAATAGTCATAGAGTCCTGTGTAACAACCAATTCTGACCCCTCGCAGAGCGTAGTGCATGCCGCGTGGACCAGATCTCTGGGGCGTACGGCTGGTGGGGGGAGCGGACGAGTTTCCTGACTTCCCTCCCCTCCTGTCGCACCGAGAACTATGTCCCAGGACTGCACCTGCTCACCTTTCAGCACCCGCGCAACCACTCGCAGCCCGACAAGGTACGTTAAAACTCAACTCTAATTTCTGACTTCCCTGTAGACAAAGTTTGGTTGGTATGGTTTTGTGTTCTTTTATACCCTTTTTACTGTATTAATATTTTTCATCTTTTAATAAAAAAAAGAAAAGGAAATCAGTTTGATTGGACTCTACTTGTATACTTCTGTCTCCTCTACAGGTGACCATTCTGAGGAGCGCCTCCATAATACTCAACCCCTCAACTGAGATGGATGTTACTCTGCAGTTTCGTGGTTTTATTCACCCACTGTTAGGGGCTCCACCTCCAGCACCTCCTCCCCAAGAGACTGTTGCCATGTGGGCCAGGATTCAGAAGTTTCACTTTACAGTGAAGATGGCTGCAGGGCCGAACTCGGTCCACCTGGTAAGAGGACAATCCACTCTGATGTCTGCACCGGTGTTACTTTCAAGCCAATTGCACCTATTCTATTCCATTAATATAAGCAATTGACTTCATTTGTACTAGGGATGTCGCGATACCAAAAATCTAGTAGTCTGTACTGATACCACCAAAAGTACACGATACTCTTCCAAAGTCGATACCACGGTGTGGTATAAAAATAAAATAAAATTAAATGAAAACTCTCCTGGAGGACATCCTCCTCTGGCTGATACTGGCAAAAAGAGAGAGAGAGATTCTAGTTTTCAACACTGTCTGAGAATGAGTGGAGGCTACAGTGGAGGTGCAGCACTCCTAAACGCACGCGCACACACACACACACGCGCGCGCATGCACACCTTATACTCTGAATGCAAGTATTAGTTTAAATTCACGGATATGGTGGAAGGCCAAAAAGATTTATTAAAAGCATGAGCGTTATTAGTGACATTAGGCTACATTTAGCTGTCAGGACATGGGTTGAATGGTGATGCATGGTGTACATTAGGAGGTAGTTTATATCACTGCTATGCGTTAACATTGTTAACAAATAACTGGCTATCGCTAACATTACATGGAGCGTAACGTTAGCTGGTTTCAGCGCCACAATGCCAGCTGCCTCTTTATGTATTGTGTGAACAAACATAATATAGGACCGCCTTTGTGGTGCTTCGCCATTTCCAGGTGTTTCCTCGCTTTGTTTGAAATGAATGATAGCATTGATTGCACACCGGCTTCAGAGCATGAATTATATGTTTGTTGTCATCCCCCTCGAATACGAAGTATTTCCAAATTCCATACCACCTTTCCTCTCAACGAGTCAGGGCGGAGCTAAATTTATGTAGTTTTTCCCATGTGCTTGTAGTTTTTGTTCTTCTTCACCAGTTGTGGATCGACTAAAACACTTATTCGGGTATTTGCTGCCCCCATAAAGTCCGGAAGAATTAAACCCCGGTACCTCCATTAGAAACGGTACTAACGCTACTCCTGAAAAACATGTACCGTCACGTTTTACAAAGGTTGGTACTGACTTGGTACCGAGGTATCAGTTCTCGTGACATCCCTAATTTGTACCCATGTATCGGTTTCCGCCTATGCTAATCCAAATCCATGTGCCAGACATGATTAGGGGAAAAGATGGACGCATCAGTGTCAAAATGACATGACTTTGATTTAAATTTTTTATACAAACTCTTTTGTACACATAGACTGATGTTCTTGGACGCTGGTCAGCTCAGGAGGAAAAGGAGAGCCGCCTCTTGTCTCGTCCAGATGGTTCTCGTCTGTTTCAAAATCTCACGCGGGGGAATCGTTATCTGGTGCAGGCAGAGGGCTACCTGAACAGCTCCGCCTCAGGCCAGACCAGTGAGATGGCCCTTACCTGGAACCGAACTGCTATACCTGGTGGAAGTGTAAGGGCTTTGTTTATCATAACTCTGGCATTTGAGTCCAGGGTCTGGACTGATGAAAATTCAGGTAGATTTTTACTGTAGCATATTAACTGCAAATAAGGAGCTTCCAGTATTTCCAGTATATAGTTGCAAGCTGATATCATACAGGCCTCCCGTCCCTGATATAGTCCAGTGAATTTCTAAATAGAAATGTGTCTTAATGAAAGAAATTGTGTCTCATTAAATGTCTTTTTTTTTTAATGGGGACAAAACATACTAGTTGTCAATGTACTTGGGTGTTGTGCTACAGTATCATCTACCTCTGGGGAAACTAAATTGATTTGGAAACAAACTTCTACAATTGTAGAAAGAAGTACAACTATGGAGGCTCTCAACCATTCAACATTTTCTGGCATTTCATTATTTTAAAATGTAGTAGTAAGGTAGTGCACCTGATGAGTGGCAAAACATTTTCATCATGGCTCTAGTACCATAAATCCAGTTTGCCTTAACTCATGTCCATTTATCCAGTTTCTTTCATTGTTCATCAGGAGATCTCATTTCTGTTCTTGGAGCCATATCGCTCAGGCTCGTGTTCAGCGTACCACTCCTGTTTGGCCTGCCTGTCCGATCAGTCCTGTGGCTGGTGCCCAACCACAAACGTGTGCATGCTGCGCTCCAACACCAGCCACGAGTTGTGCCTAGAGCCACAAGGAGAAGAGCACCACCTGTTGCTCAACCCCCAGCACTGCACACTGTGTGAGGAGTACAGAGACTGCAGGGCCTGCACTCAGGTACAGCACAGGTGGCATGTGATGCAAGATTACACGGGTGTTTTATCAGAAGAGATATGTAGTTGCTTGTTTCTAAACGTGGGCCATTGGAACTACATTATCTGGCTAAAAGGTTGTGGACACAAAAGTTTGTCATCACACCCAAATCTACTTGTTAACATCCTGTTCTAGATTTGGTCCTCCTTTGCTGCTGTAATAGCCTCTAATTTTCTGGGAAGGCTTTCCACTAGAGTTTGGATCATGGCAAATCATGCCTTTATGGAGCTCATTTTATGCACTGCCATGCTCAAACAGGGTTGGGGTCCTTAGTTCCAGTCAAGGGAAGTTTTAATGCTACAGAATTCAAATGCACGCTATTCAGTTGCGTGTTTCAAACTTTGCGGCAACAGTTTGGGGAAGACCCATATATGGGTCTGATGGTCTGGTGTCCACAATCCTTTGGCCATATAGTATATAATGACGCTTCAGTGAATTATAATTTTTGTTGTTTCCCCATAGGACCCTTACTGTGAGTGGCAAATCAACTCCAGTAAGAAGGGGGATTACTTATGCAGTCGCCGTGGGAGATTGGAAGGCTCCATTCGGGATCCATTGTGGTGTCCTAAAGTCTGTAACCAGTGAGTGTGAATTCATCAACTGAACTGATTGTTCTTCTATAGGGCTGTTATTCCACTGTGGAGTGATCCATCTTGTCAACTAAGATCACTAGTCTTCCTTATCCTTACATGTTCCTTACATGTTCTGCTCTAAGTATAGTTATTGTTCAAATTCAGGGCCAAACAATGATTTTTAAAAAATGGACAGTGTAAAATTTCTTTTTTTTTATGGATGCAGGAAAAAAAGAGGGGAGCAGGAAAGTCTCAGAGATGGCAAAGTTTGTGTTTGATTATTATAACATTATTCTGTAGCATATGCCCAGTATTTTTGCTCTGAGTTGGAAATTTACTTGATGCTCCTTAACTAGATTAAAAGATCTAATTACAATATTGAGTTCATTACACTTTCCATCACTACCCCACTCTCTGTAGATTGATCAATCTATCTTTCTCTCTCTCTCTCGCTCGGCTGCTTCGTGTTCACTTGCTCTGTTTCTGCTAAAAATACCCATCATAGCTATTTAGCTCAGTGGTTAGGACATTGGATTTATGATTGGAAGGACTTGAGTTCAAATCCCACTTGTTATGCCTTGACCAAGGCCCTTAGCCCTCAACTGCTCAGTTGTTTAAAAAATGGGATAACTGTAAGTCGCTTTGGATAGGGCCATAAATGTAAATGTATCCCTGACAGGTTGTTACAAGTCTATAGATGGCTTGTTGACTGTTTGTTGAATGCATAAATTGGACTATCCATTCTCAAAATGTCAGACTTTTGCAGTTCTTTTGAGTTCTATCTATGCATGTTTGTAATCAATATTTGTCACAAACGGACTGAGAAATACCGTTTGTATTATCTGATCCCTAGTTACAAAAAGTTTACATGGTCAGAGCTCTCGCCTGGTATCCAACTGAAGCTAAGCAGGGTTGAGCTTGGCCAGTACCTGGAAGGGAGACCTCCTGGGGAAAATGAAGGTTGCTGCTGGTGCCCACCCTGTGGTCTATGTGGTTCCTAATGCCCCAGTATAGTGACATGGACACTATAAAAACAGCACAGTCTTTCGTTAAACTGCCCTGACTCTGTGGTCATTAAAAATCCCGGGAGTATAACCCTGGTGAAGTTCCCCTATTGGCCCTTATCTATCATGGCCCCCTAATAATCTCCATCCCTGAATTGGCTACATCACTCTCCTCTCTTCTTCACCAATAGCTGGTGTGTGGTGGGTGTTCTGGCGCACTATGGCTGCTGTCGCATCATCCAGGTGGATGCTACACACTGGTGGTTGAGACGATCCCCCCTATATACATAAAAAAATATAAAAACATTTCTCTTCTTTCCTTTTTGTAAAAGGAGGACAACATGTGGGGAGTGTCTGTCAAACTCTAGCCAGTGTGCGTGGTGCGAGTCTGCTCAGACCTGCTTTTACTTTGCTGCCTATCTCACCAAGTTCCCCTATGGGGAGTGCAGAGACTGGTATGACAGGTAAGATGATGCTGCATCTGCAAATATATATTCAAAAATGTGTGTGTGTGTAATGTATGTATGTGTGTATATATATATATATATATATATATATATATATATATATATATATATATATATATATATATATATATATATATATCAGTATATCACATTGTCACATTATGTACTGTATGTAAAAGGACATTTAAATGACTTATCTTGGCAAATTGGACTAACAGTGGTCCACATCACAATAATGTGATGTGTTCTGGATATTTGAATGATGAACATAAAGAGAAAATAAACACTGGATACATGCAAAATAAAGAGGTTTTAAATAAGTTATTTATATATAATTATGTAGTAGAGTTGCACATGATACCAGTGCTACGGTGGTATCTCCATATTAAAATTCAAGATACCGCCTTTTTTTTTTTTTTATTTTTTTTTTACTGTATTTCTTTAAACAGACGTCTCGTCCGTAGGGTAGTACCATAAGTGCGGCAGTTAATACTATTTTTGATAAAAAGACATCCCACTGCTTTTGCAGAATACACATTAGTGACACTTTATTTAACCTAAATTCTTTAACCTAATCTTTAAAGATTTCCTGTTTGCTACAACGCAATCTAATGCTATGCTAACTGCTGTGACTAAAGACTAAAATCAGGGTTTGTAATAGGGGCTTGAATTTGGCTTTTTGGAATTTAAGTACTGGAAAACCTTGAAAATAGCCATTTTCATGTGGTGCTTAAAGGGTGCTTGCATTACATAAAAATATGACACCCTGCAACAGCCCCTCCCCTTCCTCCTCCTCCCGCTATTCACTCACTCATTGTGACAAACAAGCTCTGCTCCACTTTAGCGCCTTTTTGCTTTCCTCAAAATGCACCTAATAACAAATCTAGTGACTTCAGGGCAAACATTAGCTATTCTCTTGAGAAGAGGGTGGCAAGTATTACCCCTCGAGTGCGAGATGCTGGTTTCCCCCGCAGACACGCCTCTCTCTGCGGCTACTCTTTTCAGTGAGAGAGAGAGAGAGAGCAGCACATTCATTCACTTCTAACTTTCTCTCAGAGTGATTATTTTACGTGTAAATACAGCCATAATCAATTGAATAATAATAAAAATAATAATTTAACTTGTGTGTATGATTTTGTCAGATGATGTTGTTGTTATAAATCAGGATTTTAGCAGTGTAGAGCAGCAGATTGGAAATGACTGCTCATTAATCGCTATTTCATACTCGTTTTCTGACAACAGAAACAGGAAAAATATATTGGTTGTTGTATTATTATTATTATTATTATTATTTCCTCCTGATGGAGGAAACCTATTATTATTGTTTGCATTCTCCTTCTTGTTCTTATTCTCCTTATCTCCATAAAGCGCCCAATAACTTAAGATCTGAATGTAAAAAGTTTTGAAATTTGGCACATTGATACTACAGGCCACGAGTAACTCCCACACTACAAATGGCCCACATGAGCCCACATATCATTGAACATTTTATTAATATCAGTGACATACATATTACTTGCAGTGACTTATCAGACTAGGGACTGGGAAGTGTTGTGTTGTTCTAGGAAAATCCACTCCAGGTTGGTATGATACAGACCGTCGTGAGGCAGCTTATATTCTCTATCAAATGACAGTCAGAGTCCAGTCACCACCACTCATTACTTTAAATATGCAGATGAATCTGCCATTCTTGCATTGCTTAATACGGACTATCAACGCTCCATAGCGCATGTTCTGATAATTTTCTCCACCTTAATATCAAAAAGACTAAGGAACTGCTTTTTAGCTCTTACAAAACACTGACCCATCCTTCCAGTATTACCATTAACGGAGAGAAGGTTGAAAGTGTGGAGCATTTCATATATCTTGGCATTACATTGGATAAACATCTCAACTTCAATCAGCACACTCTAGGTATTTACAACAGAGACTCACAGATATTCGTAAACTTAAACATCTGTTTATTCAGCTTAGTCTGCTTCTTCATCTGTATCAAAGTATTATTGAACCGGTTCTTCTGTATGGTGCCATTTCCTTTTTCCATATGCTAACAGTAACCAATAAGAACAAACTCTTGAAAAGAACTAATTTAGCGAGAAAAATTATTGGTATTTCCACCCCCAATTTATCAGACAATGTGTCAATTCATATACGCTCCAGAAGGCACATAAAATTCCCTTAACTCCCTAAACTTGCTTAACAAGAGGCTATGGTTCATGACTTCTAGTTTGGGAAGCCCTGGTTTACACATCCCTGATAAAATTGCAGGTTTTTGTGATATAAACAATGAAACCAAGATCATTTATATCTTAAAAATTAAATATTATATATTTTTTCACCTTTAATGTGATATAGCAGCCAACAGAATACAAGTGAAAAACTTTCAAGTGGTTGGTTTAAGTTTTATAATGGGGCATGTGACTGTGTTCAGAATTATCCAGTCACAGTCAAACTCATGTTAGTAATTATCATACACCTTTAATCAAAAAAAATTATCTACACTCCATTTAACCCCAAATAAAAATCAGTTGTTTCTGTAGGATTTTCTTGACATCGTCTAGGTTTGTAAAGATGCATTTTGAGGGTAGCAAATGCTCTCATGGCTTTAACAGAATTACATATGTTCCTCTGGGACTTATCTAAATATTGAAGTGGTCGCAATGGGCTCAAGGATCACTCCTAAAGCCTGTGAAAGAAAAAATGAATGGCCAGAAATTCAGTTTTAAACATGACCAGAGCATGTAAGAGACTTGGCTACATCATAAACCTTTCATACAATTGATCAGTGCCTGGTTTAACTTTAGCTAACCTTACTTTAGACCAGTTTAGATGATGATAAAATGTAAATTTATAATTCCCATTATTTCTTTGTGAATAATGACATGAAGCTACAGAGCTGTAGGCAGCCGAACAGATATGAGTGAGAGATATTAAGCTTGGTTGTAACACACTGAAAGATAAATGAGATAAATTTAGCTACATAAGTTAGGAGTGTTCAGATAGAATAATAAAATCTGCCTTGGAAAAAAAACTCAATTGATATGAATGGAAGAGGAGATACTGTAGGAATGAATAAAGAGCCAGTAGTGAGTAGTTTTTCTTTGCTGATTTGTAATGCATGAGGCAACATAGAGCAAATAAAATATATGTTCTATTACTTTTAAGAGAAAAGAAGAGCTGCTAAATATAAAGTTCTGGTGAAGTAGGCTATTTGCTTTCTTTCTCTTTATCATGTGCTATAATTGTCTGAGTTCGATGGGCAGAATCCCCATCTTCATGCACACTCAAGACTAGGGTGCTTTTAACTTGAGCTAAAACAGCTTCTCAAGTTAGTTAGCTAGTCTGTACATACTGTTTTTACATAATAATGTGAACAATTCCATGAAATGTGATGAGAAACAATACATTTTGCTCTTAATTGTAAGTTGTTATAATTCCTTGTTTCCACTTATAGTGTGCACTCGGTTCCCCAGTGTAAGCAGTGCTCTGCTCTAGCCACATGTACAGAATGCCTGCAGACCTTTCAGTGTGGCTGGTGTGGGGATTACAGCAACCCTACCTTCGGCAGGTAGGACACATTTTCATTAACCGCAGAAATGTTTTCTAAAATCACTCTTGTTGCACTTCATGAGGGTTTCATTAGAAATAACACACACGTGAGGTTTTGAATTGTTCATGATGAAACCAGTAGAAATGTTAGTTCTGTGGTATTCAAGTGTTAAACTGCTTCATCCTTCCAACATATCCAATAAAAGTGATATTTCTGATCCATCTGTTTGATGGTGAAAACACAACAGGACAAAGATTTGATTAATTTTGTGTTTTTGTTATTAAAATACTTGTATAAACATTAATGACTTAAACATATAAATGCGATTGCTCCTGTGCTAATGCTGGTGTTTTACTATTTCCTGTATATTTACAAATTAAACAATAAATCAACACATAGAAACCAGTACATTTGAAATAAATTCTTCTAAGTGGACGTGGAAAAAGCCACATTCAGTACATTTACATGGAAAACAATAATCCGATATTAACCCGATTAAGACGATACTCTGATTAAGAAACTAGCATGTAAACAGCGATTATTGATGACCTTAAT